GATGTTGTCATCCTTTTCTGCGTATTTAACAGAGTTCAAATGGATTTTGACAAAGATCCTTTCCTCAAGAGGCAATACAGTAAAGACCTTTAATGACAGAACTATGTGTCATCTTTGCCTATAAGCATAAATTCTCACAGCGGGCAGTACAGTGAAAACATCTTATCATCAACTCATCACCTCTCATCATTGTTAGAATGAAATGCAAATGGAAATGAACATCACTTCAGTCATGGTTGTGAAAATTAGCATCTGTGGCATTAGCAATGGCTCATTTATTATGCACTCAAAATTTCAGGGGGAAAGAAAAGAATATAAAACTTGCTGTTTTCAGAACTCTACCAGTCTTCACCTTTGAAATAAAATTAAACCCCACAGCTTTCTCTACTCAAGGATAACTCCTAGTTAATATTCCTTAACACTGAGCAATCTCTTCACTGCAGATCTTGTCCTACAGACGATCTAATTATGTCTTGAATTATTTTTGGTGTTTAGGTTTGCTGTACCTATTTTCTATTTTCTTTGCTTTAATAAGTATTTCCCATTGGTGAGTCACAAGCTATTGTCTAAGAAAAAAAAACAGCACAAAAAAAACTTGCTTATGGCATCTGTCTGCACTTCAGGCTCCAAAACTTAGGCAAAGAACAAACGTCACTCAGATGACAAATCGTTTTGAAATCAATGGGATTGCAGCTAATTTATTCATTTCAGTGTTACGAAAATCGGGATCAGGCCTTCTGTGAAGAGTGCATAAAAAGGAGAAATTCTGGCCTGCAGTCTATGGTAAAAATGTGCACTGAATTCTGCAGAGGCAGTGTTTCATTTAAAGCTTATAAAAAGGAAAATTATTTGTATGAAATAGTACTAGGGAACAAAGTTGAATATTAAAATAGTTCCTTCCACTGCATTTGCTACTATTTTCTCATAACCTTGAAAATAAATGATAGTTTATCACCTAAGAAAGTAAATATTGATTTTATTAGAAAGTTGGATATATTTTTGCCTAAATATAATGCACAGGCATTGACCCTGAATTGTCTTACACACCAGAAGTAAGCCAAGTTTCAAGTACCAAGTGCATTTGGAAGCAGAATAAGGAAACAAAAATGTCTCAAACCTTTAGCATAAACATAGATCAACTGTCATGTAGAATAATGACACAAGACTTCTTCAGTCAAGTCAGAAAAAATGGCACAAAGTCATCTTTGCTTCAGCTTGAAGTAAAGCCAAGAATCATCAGGCAGTTCTCAAGTTTGCTGTGTTCATAGGAATGAGAGAGAGAGAAAGGAATAGGCTTTGCCCATCACATTGCATCCTGTAAACTGGGCAAGACAATGCAAAGTGGAATGCAGAGTAGCCACTAAATGCTTTAATGGTGTTTTATTTGTATGGTCCCAAGGTACGCTGTTGCTTGGAGAGTATACAACAGAGAAGACTAGATCCTGTATCATTTCTTAGGATGTGTTTTCTTACCATCTTTTTAAATCTACTTCATGCCACTACCCAGATACACTGACATCTGTAATGACTTAAGGGCCAAAGAGGCTAAAATCCATGTGATTTTAGGGGTATTTTTTCATCCTCTAAGTCAAGTTCTCTCCTCCTTTCCAGCTCTCTAAGGTGTGGTGGGACAGACTCCACAAACTTATAGCTGAAACACATCTAGTAAAAGCATCCTTCCTCCCGCTTGCTACAGTACTTTCCTGCTCTGCAATAAAATTCCATCACTGCAGGAGACACATGCTCTGCCTGCAGTCAGCTAATGGAGTCGAGGCTAACTCTGGTCACTAGCACGACCACAAACCTCAGGGCTAGGTGCAAGACCTTGTTTGCTTGACCTCTCCTGCCCAGAAATAATACTGCAGCTTAAAAGAGCTATACCACACAATCTAAGCTGTGTCTCACCTGACAGAAAAGAAAGGGGGAACAGTTAAGAACTGAAAAGAAGCACTGAGAGGGAGCTGCCTCTTGGTGGATGCTCTGAAGGGCTGTGCACAGGCTTTGTTGTCATAGAAAGTCATTTAAGGTCCTGGATAAATGGATAGGTTAGAGAGGTTGAAATCTAGAGCTTAGCCCTTCGATTAGTTGAATTTCTTCATTATTAAGCAGAGTATTTTTAAGCCTTAGGATTTTTCCTCTATAGGTCAGCTGTCTGGGTCCTCAGCTGATGTACAAGGTACAAATGCACAGTTTCATGGCAGTATGTGCAGCTACAATGATTAACGTTGGCAAAGGATCAGAATCCTTCCAGTATGTCTTTTGAAAACAATTCTCTTGCATCTCATCTCTGCCTATTTCATCTGGGTTGACACCAGGTGTATTTTTTTTTTTCCCTAGCAATAAATGTTTATTTCTTTAGTTTCCATGCAAAGCACACAGTAGTTATATGCATATACATGCATATGCAAAAGCTGCCAGATATGCAAAAAAGTTATTAGTAAGACACCACAGAAATCCTGCTGTATTACAAAACAAACTGCAATACTACTATTTCATGGCAGCGGACAACTATTGACCCTTTCATAACAGACACTGAGAGTTGTAAGATGCCACCTTCTGTCCATGTAGCACCTGAAGCATCTGCAGAAATCCCTTAAACACCAGAGTAATCAATAAAGTAAAGTAAATGCATTGTACACAGAGAACTGGCAGTTAGATACTGAAAATTTCTATTAGTACTGCATTGGTCTTTGACTTGCTTACCACTACTAGAGGCTTTATACAAAGCCTGCAAACAGCCTTGAGAAAGGTTTTAACACTAGCGTTTCATGATATTTGTCTTTATCAGATGGTATGACTGGATGATGATATTCTTCACAGAAAGCAAAAGTATTAAAGAGAAAATCCTGATGAGAATCTTGAATTAACACACAGAAGTTCATCCAATTGTGATAGAGATGGTCACTATAGGTGGTATTCAAATACCTAAAAAGATCTTTCTGGTGTCTTCTTTAAGGGCCTAAGGTAGCAGACCTTGTTTTCACTTAACACTCCAGACACTGCGGCTCTCCCTCAGGTCTTGTGTCAGGCCCATGTGGATGTATTGGAGACACTAGGACACCTCAGTTGCCTAAAGGCAAGGTGAAGTAGCCCAAGAGCCCCACACTGACAATGGCATCCTGCTCTGTGAGTGTGAGGAGGTACCAAATGCTGCCTGCGCAGAGCAGGGGCAGCCAGGAAGTGATCTAGGGAAGTGGCTTGTGAAATCCTGTAGCTTCTGTCAGGAGGTAAGGACCTGTGCCCCATGTTACCCAATTCGGTATGAAGCAATCTAAGTACTTGCGTTACTTCCATGGGCCCTGTTTGGAAACGTGCTACAACGAGCTATGATTCCTATTCTGTGTGACATGGGGCTGTCTCGTCCCGTGACCTTTTTGTGAACAGTACATTCAGTAAAAACTTTCTCACTGTGGAAAGTTTACACAATTCTGTGCAAAAGCGGGACTACAGTAGGTGAAGTGTTTCAAAGAACGCTGCTGAGGCAGAAACACGTCCTGAGCCACTTCATCGAGGCCTTTCCATTTTTGTAAACATTTACAATAAGACAAAGTCAGCACGGCAAAGTCAGCAGGTTTGGCAGTCAAGTCATTAGACTTTTTTTATCCCTGCTTTACACATACAGTGAGTTAAATCCATGACCATTTTTTTTTCCTTAATAGCGTAGAGTGCATTCATGAATGACTAACTAACTGTGTGGAAAGAATAATAACTAAAAAAAAAAAAAAAAAATCAGGCTGTTGTTAAGGAATGTATTATTCTGGAAGAAGACAGTGACCAAACTTGCTTTTCAAATTACTTAATAGACAGGAAAACAAAGCCCATCCACAGAATCTCTCATGGTCATTTCTTGCTTAACCTATAGTATAATTAGGTATTAATTATTCTGTCTTTAAAAAATAGTATGATGATTGAATAGAAGAAAATACATGTCATACCCATTAGTGAAATGCTAAAAATCCCCATTCAAATCCATGGGAAAATGGATTCAGAATTGTTTCAAACCCATCGATAAAACCATTAATTTTAATTGTTAATGAGTTGTAGTCTAAAACTGTAAGTGCAATACACAAAAGCCAATGCTGAGTAAAAGCAGAAGACGCTGCTGAAATAGTGTCTGCAATAATATTTAGGACCCAGAAATCACAAAGGGAGGTGTATTCCCAAGCAATGAAAAGATGGGTCTGTAAACTAGGAGACAGTGAGTTACCAAGAGCAGAGACATACTAAAAGGCTTTTCTAATCTCTTATTGAAATTTTCAGCACTGGCAAATTGAAAGAGAAATGGATACCTGAGTGTGCTCAGGTCTAGCAGTAGCCATTTCTCTTCAGGCTTACAATACACCTGCAAAGGTCATTCTGCACCCACTCCAGGGACTGAAAATAAATTTCTAGCACAGGATACATCCTTATGCATCTTACAAAACTCTGACTTTCTTGCAATTCCAGATTGTGAATCGTGTCCAGTGTAGCATATTATTAATTTATTCAGAGTCTATATTTCAGACTAAAAGTATAACAATTCCCAGAAAAGTGATGATGGCAAACACTGATTGCCAAGTACCCTCTCCTCCTTTGGTTATGATGGACACATATTTATTAAAACAAGAAGCAAAATTAGTAGCTTTTCTAGTTCTTCATAGATTCTCACACTCTTTTGTGGGACATCATCAGTTTATCATAGATGAAAAGGAGAGAAGGGATTTTTGTGAGCCCTTCTGTTAAAAGAGTGATGCAGAGCATATAATAGTAGACAAAGTCCAGTATCAGGACTCTTCAGCACAGCTACAGCAACTTCACAGTGATGATTCCTTGAATTGGATCTTTACCTTTATAAAGTGAGCGTATACAAATAGATTCTTGAGATTATACTACTGAGGTCTGAGGGGCTTGCTAGCATATCAGGAAATCCTGAAGCTATGATTTAAAAGGAAATCTTCCTTATAAAAAATGTTAAGAATTCATGTTATTATTAATTGACAATAAAAATTAAAAATTCTTACCTTGGGCTTTTGACTTTTCTCCTTATCAGACACGTTAGATGGTTTTCTTTTCAACATTTTTAATACAGATTTGTCTAGCTGATGTACAACTGGTTCTGGCTTGTAACCAAAGTACAATGAAGTGTTCTACACTGCACGAGCATACACCATTTACACAGTTCCTTATTCTATCAGGATGTGACTTCACACAGCTGCTTTGTGGCACGGGTGAGCGAGCTGAAATCTTTGGGGAGGAAGTGAGGAAGGAGGGGAGGAAGTGAAGCGAAAAGAAAGACATAAGGTGCACTAAGAAGACGAGTTAAAAATGAGGAGTGAGGAATGTTTTAAGACTTATCTCCTTTGTGACCATCAGGCCTCAGTAAGGCTTTGGACAACCTCATGAAAATCATCCTCTTTTCCTCTCTGATTTTTCACCAGTGCCTTGTGGCACAGCTGCACCCTTTGACTTCTGCTGGGACTCAAATATGAAGAAGCCATGCTGCTGTTTAGAGGACCAAGGGGTATTCCCCAGTAGATTTGCACAGCTCTGTGATACATGGTCTAGCTGGTCCCTAATGCCTCCCTTTCTTTGCTCTACAGTAATGCAAGAAAAGCAGTGAGATAGAATGTCACTGGCAGAGAAAAGACGTTTCCTAAAACAAACTTTTTCTCTTGCATGGTGGAATAGCTTTTTTTTGCCATTCATCACAGAATTTTCAGCACTTTTCAGTTCTCTGTTGTCTTTGATTTGTTGACAATCAATTTGGAGGAAAAGCAAGTCGAGAAGGAGGCTTACAGTAAAGACACAGGAGAATGACAAAGGTCCTTTACACCCTCTTGAAGAACAGCCCAGAGGCTAAATGAAAGTGGAAGTATTAAGGTAGCTTTGAATTTCTGCTTCATTTTGCAAAAATCAAAGTCTTGAGCATCCTAAGTAAAACTGAAACCATGAAAAATACTCAGCTTTTTCCTGAAAGATGGAGGCAAATTCTCAATTTCAAATTCTGAACTTTTGGGCCACTCACAGAATTTCAGTTACATCTTAATTTAGTATTACTACAAATGAAAAAGAAATCTATTTCTAAGTACATTGCAAGAAAAAGGTTCAAGAGTAAGGTCAAGAAAAAACTTTGGTAATTTTTTTTTCCTAAACTTTGATAACATTGTATTTTTGGTTTTTTTTTTCAAGCAAATCTATTCTAAGCAACTTTTATTTAGAAGTTTTGTATAAATAAAAACTCTTCTAAAAAGCAAGTTACTGTGGAGATCTCTTGCAGCAAATAAAAATTAAGGAGTACTTGTTAATCTAAATAATCAGTGTACAGACCTTTCTTTCTTTCTCTATGTTATTTTTTTAATATAGTTGAACTCAAATTTCAAGGAAGCTAATGCAAGAAACGATCTAAAATGGAAACCAAAAAACTTGATTATTTAAAGCCAGTAGGAAATGCACAAATCTCATTTCTTAGAATCACCTTTCCCAGTCCCATAAACACGTCTAAATTTCAAAATGTCTGTGAGGATACAGTGCTGGATAGGCAGGTAGTCTTTTAGCTGAATTACTGTCTTCTTCCTCTACCAAATGAACACTCCAGGGAGGGATAAGACACTGCTCATCAGAGTAATTCCCATTTCAGTTTGCTATTTGGACTGCTGTTTAAGTGTTTAAGAAAAGTTCTGGAGGCCACCTTGAATTCTGATGTATGGTTAAACTGATTAGACTGAGACTGACTGAAGAAAGAATAATTATCATATGCTAGTGGTATAATGAAGTTTTCCTTTCCAGACTTTCTAGGAAAAGGAGGAGGACCTGGGGTTAAGGCACTGGATTTCTGCCAAATATAATGCAAGACTGTTCTCTGGGTTATTGGATTGCAGTGGAGTACGTGTTGAACCTCAACCCATCAAACAAGATGTTTCACTTCATATTTTAATTAGAATTACACTCATCTACAACAGAGTTGAATTTACTATTGCTATTATTAATAATAACATATCTACCAGAGTTCATAATCATTGTTATTATTAATAATGATTAATATTATTAATAACAATTAATAAATTAATAAATTAATAAATTAATGAATTAATATAATTAATTCATTAATAAATAATGAATTAATAATAATAAAAAAACTGAGACATATGTTTCTTTCATATATCTGAATAACAATACCTGGAAAGTCCATTTAAGTTTTTAACCATAAGGAGATTTTATCATGAATATTTAATCAGCCTTAGTAATTCAGTAGGGCCATATCTTGTTATAAAAGCTGTATGTATGTTTAATAGTAATTAACTGTTTATTAATCTACATGGATGTACATCGCAGTATATTGTTTTTCTTTTTAATCTGATCAAAACCTGAGGATTAAATCAGACTGCTGATCATTAGACTGTGATTTCCTGTCTCGGGACACTCTTAAAATCTTCATGATTAATAAAATGGGAACTCATCTGAAGAATAATATATGAGCTTCCTTTCTGTAGAATATTTATTGTTAAACAGGAGGAAAGAGGCCATTTCAAGAGATATAGTACCCACCCATATCTATTTCCTTTCCTCATCCACATATCAGAAAAATTATAGCAGCTTGAAAGCTGACCTGATTATGTTCTTGCCCTTGGAAAGTTGACCCACACTACTTTTAAAAAGTAACAAAATGAAGAAAATCAAACATAGCGCATTAAGATAATTTAATTTAATTAACCCGTGCATTTCAAAAGGAGCTCTTTTGAATTAAAGATTAATAATAAGCCTGGTGCTTATATCCTCTGTATTTGAACATAATTTTTCAAAGGGGAATGCAGATCTATGTAAAAGGAAAAGAAGCATTCTCATACTAAGTTTTCTGTTTGATGTGACTGCAGGGAACTTATTCCATTTCCTTGCTGATATTTGGATCTGATCCAAGCCCCAGTGAAATCAATAGAAGTTTTTCAGGTAAATTTTATGGGGCTTGCATAGACTTCTCCACCCTGAAATACCCAGGCAATGTCACTCTCCTCTATGAGAAGTCCTGTGGGGAAAAAGGCTATCCACTTAAAAATAATTAAGGTGACCCCACGAGAATGATTCTCACTGCCATTATATTTATAAAAGGCAACATACCTTATAGCTTATTATTATCATTATTCAGTTTTAATGAATGACCCATGATGAATGGTGCTGGATAGTCAAGTGCTTTATGTGCGTCCCTCCCACATGATACAAAGTGCCACCACAGTTCCACATCCCCTCAGTGGCTCTATCCAGTTACCTTGCCCTGAAAGGAGAGATCGCTTCCAGTCTAAACTGCAAGCGTGAAGTTATCCTTTCAGTACTAGATGATTCAGATAAAATTAAAAAATAAAGTGCAAAGTAGATTGAAGGGTTTAGCATATTGGCTGCCTGTTAAAAAGCAAACAAAATGAGACTTTTTTTCATATTATCAACTTATTTTTCATTGTCCATCAGACAAGTCTGGTTCAAGTTTAACCAGAGATTCAGCGATACCTTGGGGCTGTACATTGCTTCCCCTTATGCCAAGCAGTCCCAGAGTGTGGTAGTCTGTTTATTTTAGTAAAAATAAGACTTGCGTTTTGTACCAGAAGGGAACTTTGCCTTCAGCCTCTGCTTTTATGGCCGTGCCCCCCCTCCCCCGTGTGAGATAGCTCCCTTAGATACGGCAGAAAACTCAGAATAGCAAGTGGAGCTGAGTGAATAATTTGCAGTGAATAATTTACTTAACAAATTTAATCTTTATTTCCTCAAGGAATGTTCGTGAGCAGGACACAATTTCCTCATATGTATTAATAATGGGACAGAACGTAGCAAGATACTTCCCTCTCCTGGTCTAATCTGAGCAAGGGCCAGCCACAGTTACAGTCACTGCTACTCCTCAGCAGAGCCATCTGCATAAACTACCACAGCAAAGACTCTATGGGAACCAAAAGGAACAAGTGTGAAAAAGTGAAGTTAAGTTCTCCCTCCTCTGACAACTACACATGAAAGAAGCCAGATGTTTGAGGCTTGTCTATCTTTGTAACTATTTAATCTAAACACTCGTGTTTAATTTTAACTGCAAGGGTTGATGCTGTGATTTTCATTGGAATGCTGGGGAACAGAGCTGAGTGCTTATGGTTCCATCTCTGAAACTCCCACACTCACTGCAAACTCGTCACTGTGACCATCCAGAATATAATACTGCAAATTAGTCCAAAATGCTTAAGGACTTCATGCAACAGGGTGTCTAATTTCCTATTGAATAGGTTCCTATGCATTTTCCATCAGGAAGAAAAAAATGAAGAAGCTACTGAGACTTGGATTCTTTGACAGACAAGATGTGATTAAAGAATATTTTAAGCTTACACCCTTGATTTGGCAGAGGGTTGACATCATATCAAGAAGACTCCTGTCCCAAAGTGTAATTCTTATGAAGCCTGCAGAAACTTGACTATTCAGCAATACTATTAACTAAGATCTGAAGTTAGCTTCACAAACTTCCTTCGTTCAATAATTTACACTGGGGGGATTTTTAATGCCGCACATCCACTGAAACAGCATGATGGAACAACACAGTGGAGTCTAAGCTTGGTTAAGCAACCATCAGGGTGCAGAGCCCAGGAATACCCTCATCATGCCAAATCCCAGGAATTTTTAATTCAGCCTCTCTCAGACTATTGGGCTCCCTTCTTTTCCTGAAAAAATATTTTTGTGATTCCTCCTTCTCTTATGCTAATCCTTTGCCACTAAGGTAAATGGAGTCACAAGGAAGTATGGCAGAGACAAGCTACTGAGCATCAATACCAGAGCTCCTATTGAATTTAAAGATGTCTCATGCAAAAAGCAGTTGCTACTCTGTGAGTAAGAAAAAGTGTCTCATTGCCAGGCCCTGAGACTGTGTCCTTGGCATGCTCCCAGCACCACCTGGCCTAAATGGAAAAAGAAGTATCAAGGACTTATCTGAAACTTTGATCCCAACACATTCTCTTGCATTAGCAGTAGATGAACAGATCAGTCACTCCTACACTATGTCAGGTTTGCACTAATAAAATTCTATACTATTGTGACAGAAAGATTCTCAAGGAGATTGGCT